CCCCTCCCCCCCCGCCCCCCGCCCCCCTCCCCCCCGCCCCCCGCCCCCCTCCCCCCCGCCCCCCGCCCCCCTCCCCCCCGCCCCCCTCCCCCCCGCCCCCCGCCCCCCCGCCCCCCGCCCCCCTCCCCCCCCGCCCCCCGCCCCCGCCCCCCTCCCCCCCGCCCCCCGCCCCCCTCCCCCCTGCCCCCCGCCCCCCGCCCCCCTCCCCCCCGCCCCCCTCCCCCTATCCCCCCTCCCCCCCGCCCCCCCGCCCCCCTCCCCCCCGCCCCCCCGCCCCCCGCCCCCCGCCCCCCGCCCCCCTCCCCCGCCCCCCGCCCCCCGCCCCCCTCCCCCGCCCCCCGCCCCCCTCCCCCCCCGCCCCCCGCCCCCCTCCCCCCCGCCCCCCGCCCCCCTCCCCCCCGCCCCCCGCCCCCCGCCCCCCGCCCCCCTCCCCCCCCCCCCCGCCCCCCGCCCCCCGCCCCCCTCCCCCCGCCCCCCGCCCCCCTCCCCCCTCCCCCCCTCCCCCCCTCCCCCCTCCCCCCTCCCCCTCAGCCCCTCCCCCTCGTCCCCCTCCCCTCTCCCCCGCCCCTCTGCACCTCTCCCCCCCGCCCCCTCCTAGCGCCGCGATCGCTTCCCCGGTTGTTGCTGTGCGGGGCGGAGCACGCTCCTATGCGGACTATGATTTTAAATTACAATGCGCTGCTTATCGGTGATAGGAAATATAAAGGCGACATGGGCCAATCAGAGGGCGCCGTCCGCCATCTTGGCTCTCGTCGTACCGCGGTTAATATAAATTGCGGAAAATAAAGAGGAGTCGACGATTAAATCTCCGTCGTAAAAGGGTCGCAGTGTCTCGGGAAAAAATCCGTCGGATAGAGTAAAAATCAATAAAAAATATCATCCGATCGACTGGCGTGTGCGGCGTTTCGTTAAAAATCCAAATAGCGCAAAGTAGTTTAATTTGAGGTATTATTGTTTAGCGCGCGGATTGGTCGGCCTCGTCTAATGGCGACGCGTCTCTCGGCTCCGTTCAAACTCTCCCCGCCTTGCCCGCCACCACAAGCAACTTTTACCTCCTTTTTAACCAATTCCGTTCGACTTCGCCTCTAATTTAACAACTGGCGCTTCGCATTTCTTTAAAATCGAGGGATTTCAACGCGTTCGGACCGAAATTTGTACGCGCACTATCGCGTTTTCGTTGGTCCCGGGCCGCGTAGGAACACCGCTGTCTGCGACCCGAGTACTCAGGTCAGAAGCACCCCGAGTTAAGTTCTCTCACTAAGAATTGCGTTTATTCACATGTTTATTTACATTCGTCGGCAATATATGAAACGTAACATTGCTGATGAAAGTGTGGTTCGCACGCACGCGGCTGGTGCACCGTGGCTGATGCTTTGTAACCCGGCGTTTGTTTGTTTGTTCTGCGGGAAATGTTTAAAGTTACACATCTATTTGTTATAATTATTATCGCCGCCGCCGTGTCTTTGTACGTACGTGTAATAGTTTACCGATCTTTAGCACGCTTTGACTACACGGTACTTTACGCCGGTAAATGCTGCTTTAGTGTGTTGATGATGGGGAGGTTTGTGGAGGTTCCAGGCCACGCCACTGATGATAGCCGTGGCTGGGAATGCAACTGGGATACGATGCTTTGATAACACATTTAGACAACTATCACCCTGTATTGTACACACACATAAACACAAGTGTTGTGACACAAGTGTTGTGTTTGTGGTGTACGGCGCAGCTCTTCAGTCTGTGGCACGTGTTAATCCAACACTGTCATCTTAGACGACTTACCGGGGAAGATGGTAGAGATTAAATTAATTCATACCCGTAGGTTTTTTCGGTAAAGTCGCGTAAGTAAAAAATAACAATAAAAAATGAAAATAATAGTAGAAATAAAATAATAATAAATGAAAATAAATCGATTAAATCACGACGCCAAGTCTCCGTCTTCAGGTGGGACCGGCACAGCTGAGTTCACCTACGTGACTTTACCAAATAAACATAAGAGTACGACTCCTTGCAGTCACGAAAGCTTCAAATCTAGAGATGAAATGAATTATTTTACAGATTGCTTGTGAGATTTAATGACGGCCACACGACCGTGATGTGGCTTTGCGTGGCGGGCGAGGGGACGAGGCCTTTATCCAGCAGTGGATTGACCATGGCTGGTGATTTGTCATCTGATGTGTACTTGTTCTGGCCGTGGGAACGTGGAATTTCCACGGGAGGCATCGATCTGATGAGTACCATCGCCCGATTGCGCGGGAAACCACTTGGGCCGTACAGTGCAGTATTGCGTAACGCAAGTCCTCTGTGCCATGTGTTTTGTAGTTGATGATTTTAAAGGTTATAACCAGCACTGACCAGCGTGGTGAAGTATGGTCGAACAAACCCCCACCCACCCACCAGCATGGAGTGATTTCATCCAGAAGTGGCTTTGCAAAAGGGTTGTAACAGCACTGACCAGCGTGGTGAAGTATGGTCGAACAAACCCCCACCCACCCACCAGCATGGAGTGATTTCATCCAGAAGTGGCTTTGCAAAAGGGTTGTAAATTATTGTTTTAGGTACAACATGTACACAGGCATTTGTTGTATTTAATGTCTTTCCACGTCGCTTTTGTGTGCACAAGCACACACGTATGTAGCCATGGAAATGTACTGTGCATTTATTAATCCACTGTTAGATTAATCCCTCCCCATTCCGTGTCAGACGTGGGTTTTTTTTCAATATAATTTAACCACACTGAGTCGGTGTGTGGGTTGGTGAAGAGGAAACCCAATAACCGGTGTAGATATCGCCACTGATGTGAGCCGTGGCCGGGAATAGCGGAGTGCGTTAACCACCCGATAAACACTATAGATGATGCGGTTGTACACAATACACGGATGGCAACACACGTACTTGTACTGGGAAATGTTAAGGAAGGAGAGTGCAGATTATTATTTTTTTAGACATCAACGTTTTTGTTTAAATTTGGGAGACATCGGGTTCCAAAAAATTCAAATCGTCAGTTTTCTTAATTGCGATCTCAAACTGTTGTCCTTGGTTCTTTCGGTAAAGTCACGTAGGTAAAAAAAAATAAGAGATAAAAATTTTAATAAAAATTAATAAAAGTGAATTAAACCACGACGTTTCGATTGCAACACAAGCAATCATCATCAGGTGTGAAATCGCAGCGAGAAATGTTTTACTCAAGTGGGAGAAATTACTTTAACGAAAGAACCAAAGAGATGCTTGCAATCACGAAAACTTTAAATCTAGAATGTTGTCATACAGCCTGTGTGTACGTTGGCTCGATAGAAGGGCAACTTCCCCTAACGTCAACCTATTATTGTAGTTGTAAGATAGTTGCAGCGTTAATGGTGTTTGATAAGTTAATGTTTGCTTATCTATCACTGGCGGTCCAATGCCCTAATGTTTTGTCCTCTAGGTAAGTTTAATATCTATTGAGACATACTGTTTAAACGTATGGGAATATCTATTCGGTACACGTGTGCAGTTTACGTGTTCTCTATGTAAAGTGTGTGTATGTACAAGATTGAACATAGATGTACACATACATTACACGCAAACTGCGGTGTGCGTCCTTGAATATTACAGTACACGCCCAGGTGTGGACTCAACACGGCTGTTTACATTCAACATTATTTCAACATGGGTGTGAACTCAGGGTTAATAGAAACATCTTATTTCGGACCCAGATCCGCCTTTTATTCAATAGGAAACTTGCCCTAGCAGTTAGTACTGTCTCGTAACAATAATAGTGCATTGTGTCAATGAAGTGCCGTCCGACTTCCCACACGTTTGTTGAGTTAGAGGGTGGAGACGGCCTTTTTGGTAAGTAGCCTTAAGGAATCCTTAACACCCCCCCCTTCTCCATTGTAGAAACCACTCCACGCTTTATCGCAATGAGTAAGCTGGTCAATGAGACCCAAACGTAAGCCGTGCATCTTGACACCGATGCAGTTCAGAGTTGGCTTTTGGCCATGTGCTCGCTGACAACACGCAAACAGCCAGGAGTCGACTTAGCGTGATACTGTTTAGCAGTAATACAACACTGCGTGGACTATAATACTGTGGGCAATTGCATTGTTATCCTCTTAATATTGTACTGTGCGTATACACTTTGAGGTATAAATAGGATTAGGGATAAGGAGCTATGTGCTTAGTACAGTGAACATGAATATGAAAAAAGGAAATGAGCAGCAGGGGGGGGAGGGAAATAATTATTGTTATGCAATGAAGACAATGGGTGAGCAGTTTTGTGAATGAGACTGCCCATGCTGAGTTTCCAAAGTCCCTGAGTTTTTGTGCGTCAGTATTTACGCTAAGATGTACCAGTGGCCGAGTGTTAAACATCAAAAAGTCATTTCAGAGATGGACGACCTTTTGTAAGTCACTGACATTGGTGGTGGCGTCTCTCCCACTTTTAGATTGACTCCAGCCAAATTCTAGTTGTTTCACTGGTTCGTGACAGATCTGGTGTTCCTATGTTATCAGCCTCTGCCGGTGGCTATGTTAAAGGCACAGTCATTGTTGGCCTACCGAATGCCTTGGTCATTGTCTTATTTTGGTATGGATGACCCAATGTATTTGCGTAACATCAAGTGTTGTTGGTGTGCCAAACATATGCAGTATTGGTACGTGCGACAACACCATTTGGTTTTGCTTTGGTTGATCGTGTTGGTCTGCCTTACATCGTGTGCTTGATGCCGTGTACGTGACTATGTCTTGCTTGAAGTGCTTGTGAACGGCGAGTATGTGGTGGGATAGCACCGGCGTGCGTGTGACAAATCGTGTGACCAGTGCGTGCTGTGTGTATGTATCCACGTAGAGTGCACACACACACACAGAAGCCTGCCTGTATTTTCATTGGCTGCCCAGCTTATCCCTGCCGTAACTGGACGCTAGAATAAGGTCAAACCAAAGGCAAGGCAGGCACACACACACACAAAAAAAAACCCGGAATGAATATGGCGGGGGGCTGGACTGGGTTGGGCTTTGGCTGGGTTTGTGGGATGGGGGCGGCGTTATTCGACGTAATAAAATAAAGAATCAAATGGAAACCTCCTCCCCCTTCCCGGCACCGCATGGCACTAGCATCAGTGGGCAAGGGGACGGTGCAAGGGGGAGACCTCGGCCACAGCGGCGGTGTTTGGGGGGAGAACCATGGCTTTGGGGGTGGCTTTTCGGCGGTGAGTGCGGTGGGTGTATCGGTGCCTCTCTCTCTCTGGGCCGCGGGGTTTGTCGGTCTGCGGGGGTCCTGCGTTGTGCGCTGCAGCTTTTTATCGCACGGTGTGTTTGTGCGCTCGAATATTGTACGTGCATTGATTTTTAGTACTAATGTCCGTTACGATCATGTGCTGTTGGAATACGTGGATTGCTCGTGCACGGTATGTGTGTGCGCATTTTTGACCTGGGATGCAGTACAGATGCAGTTATTTAATATTTGCCTTGGGTCTTTTCTTTAAAAGGAGGCAGCTTTTCGTGCTCCCCCCTCCCCTATTTAAATTGTACAGCACTCCTTTTATGTACATATTTTATATTCATGAGCATTGCGTTTTTGTGTATTCATTTATAAGCTTTATTGAGAGTGAGTTGACGATCCACTCGCTCCACTAACTAGCAAGAAGGCGGATATTGTCGTACAATGAACCAAGGACACCACACGACAGACACGATTTTGTTAGCGTAAGAGACGGCGGTGCAAACGTTTGTATAACAGCGTCGACGGTGGCGTGTGTTGGTGGGTTTTTTTTTGTATCTTTTTTACACCCTTGTTTCTACGAAACGTTCTTTTTGACCAAAAAAAAAACACCGCAGCGGTGAATGTGTGTAGCAGGAACGAGTGCTGGAAACGAGGAAGAGCGGGGCAGGATGCGGTGTTGGTGAGCGGTGGCCGGGGCCGTAGGGCGAGCGGGTAGTGGGGGGGGCATCTCTCCTACTGTATGTGTCGTTTATTTTTTACGCCGTGTCCACTGAAGGTCACACACACACACATGCGCGGCTAGTGGTGGTAGCAAGAACTTAGCTGAGCCACTGGAACAAAAAGAAACAGCTGACGGGCCAAAAAAATGCGTTACAGGGTTCAGATTCTAGTCGAGGTGGGGGTGGGGGGCTAGTTTTTAGGAAGAGACGGTGAAGAATATGGTTAGGCCACCCATATATTGTGTCTGCGATAGATTTTGTCTTTGCAGTGGTTGAAGATGTATCGGTCTTATTTGTAGTACTGAGAAAAAATATGCAGCTTATACATAAAAAATTATAAATTCTGTAGCATTGCTTTTTGGAAAGCATAAATGGCAAAGACTGGTGGATTATTAACGGGTGGGGGGGGGGGGCGGTTAGGCGGCACCATTGGCGTGTTTGAAGGGGGGGCCCACTGCGAGTCCACGCACACTTGTGTTGTGGGATGTTTAGTGTTGTATGGCACAGGCTAGACAACGCGCTGGTTCTGTAGACACTCGGTCACAATTTAGCATTTTTAAGCCGAGCACTGCTCCATTGCACTTTAAACCGCTACTAACCACCAGCACTAAAACGGCGAAGGGTCACGTAAAATTATCCTGGCGTTTTGTGGTCGATTTGTTCAAGGTGATTGTATGGGTTGAGTCCCTGCCAAGGTATTTGCCCTTCTACCCTCATAGTTTAATGGACAGATTCACCTTGGAGTGGGTTTTTTTTCCATTTACTGTACACGTATATGAGAAGCAAAGTCAATGGTGGCATGCGTGTATTCCGCCAAAAGGCTGTTCGAAGCATCGCCTAATAGGTTTGAGTCTGCAAGTGTCACCTTCAAAATTAATAAACCGTATCAACAAGGCAAGGCACCGTGTATAGTATTTCGTACCTGCCACTGCAAGCGATGCATTAATACACAGTGAACTTGGCCTGCGTCCTTGAATATACACATGCGTTGCTTGTGATTTTTTGTTTTCGTGAGATTAAAGTTTTTAGTGGACGAATTTGTGTGCTTTTTTTCCTATTCCTCTGAGCCATGTTCCTAACGAAGTGCACTATTGTGCGATATGGTACTGTGACGCAAGTATGCAGTTTTTCCGGTTGGGTTGGAGGTGACGGGGTGAACCTTACCTGTATTTTCTTGTTTCGGCTAACGGTTGCTTCACATATTTTAAAACAAAATACGGGTACTTCGCCATCTTTACTCACCGCGATCGTTTCTGCGGAAAATTCCAAGGTCAATGCAAGTAAAGGCAGCAAGCGGAGGGGATCAGTTTTGGTGAATTCACATTAAGTTATCGGAGCCAGAGGCTCTTGAACTGTGATTTAGCGGTTTTTGTTTCTGTAAATGAATGTCACACCCGACGCCGACGAAGGCCCCCCCCCCCCCCCCCCCCCATCTGAAGAAAATAATTACTGTGTGACAGCTCGGTTCGCTTCCCCCCCACCCCCCATTCGTGTTTTTAATTCAAATGTTGTGTTGTTTTTCATCAGCTTATGACAATGGCCTTGGCTTGTGTGTACGTGTGTGTGCCTCAGTGAGGCGAGATGTCCAATTCGTCGGACGCGGCGTACAGCCCCGGAGGAGGGCAGGGCGGCGGCGGAGGCAGCGGCACCGACGCCCACCTCCTCCTGCAGAACTTCTGGCCGCGCGTCATGGAAGAGATCCGAACCATGAACACTGTGAGCCGCGCCAAAGAGGTGGAATTGTTGAGATTGCGATGACACCCACCACAAACTAGATTTCGGCACCGACCTCCTATGGACCCCCACTTGGCTGCGGCCATGAAACCGTGGCACGTGTGGGAGGATAAAGGAAGATGCAACTCGAGTGACAAAAATATCGTTTATCTTGTAGACAGGAACTTTAGCTGCATGTTCCAAGCTGTTCCGACATGGGTTTGAAGCATTGTTTGCGAGTTAAAAATTGTCGAAAATAACAGTTTTCACTGCAGTGATAAAATACATGGGAGTGATACTAATGTGGTGTTAACAGCACACTCCTGCCAGTCCCTAAATCAAGTCGTTTTTCTCCATGGTTTTTTAACTTTGGCCAGACAGTGTGGGACATTGCAGCCATGGTGCTGCTACAATATAAGAGCTGTTTGTTTTTTAAGTTGCTTTTATTAAGATCCCGGTTTGCGTTCACGTTGTGAATATTGTGTTCACGTTGTGAATGTTGTCAGATGGTTATCCCACAAACTCCCAACAGACTTTCAGAAAAGTAATCTTGCTTACCCTTTGCAATGCATATGTTTTTAATGGAATTGAAGAGACTAATGATAGGTACTTACTCCTTAATGCCATCTTGATTACGTTCATCTTCACCGACATTTGAGTCCTAATTATGGATTTGCTGTTTTAATCTGGTGTGTAAAATACTACGAGTGTCTATTTCTGTAAAGTTACGTTGGCCATAGAGATTCAGTCGGCAGATACAGAAGTGTGTTTTGCCATACTTCCAGTTTCTCTAAGAAACATATTTCTTGGGAAATTATTATTTTCAGAAGGCAGAACTTAATGTAGTAGTCTTAGTCATTCCAGCCTCTTACTTTGGACTGCAGATGTATTGTGAATGTAAACACTCGAGTGTTATGTTTTTAACTGAAACAGAAATTTCATTGCTTGTACATGAAATGCTACATTTCGAAGGTCTGTTAAAATGACCGTTTCCCATGTCATAATTATTTACAATTTGCTCAACTAACCGTATTAGAAATAAGATCAAAGGTAACATGGCTAATGTGCCAATAAATGTTTCTTCTGGTACATTGCGTTCTCACCAGATGGTGGTAGTGAACTGTAAAGAAGACCCCTCCACAGAAAAATTCTCGGCTTATCGCATAAACTGCAGTGGCAAGTTAATAGTTTTTTTTTTAAACAAACCAAATGTGCTGTTTGCTTCCAGGAAGCTGATAGTGCAGTAATGGGCTGCTGTTTTGATGATACTAACAAGAAATGGGTTTGCCTTTGAGCTTCGTGGGCCACCGTAGCTTGTCGGCACTGACTTCCTGTGCCTGCACCACTTCACTCTAATTAATATTCATGAGTGACGTGCCTTCCTTCATATTCATGAGGTTAAAAGGTCAGTGGCACAGCATCGTGGAAACATGTCCACATACGTAGTTCACAAAGGAAAAGTGGAGCCCACCAAAGTTTTAACATGTTACATTTATATTGCTATGCCTTTTTTAATTATTGTTTGAGTTTTTAGACGTACATTTTAATGTTTTTGTAATTTTGGGTTTTATGGAAATAGAACTTAGGCTCATTGTCGCTCCATGTTTATATTCATTATTTGTTTATTTTAGTGGTTTTGCAGAAGGCAAAACAACGGACATCTTGTGCATTTTATAAATTGATTTCCTGTTCAAATGAGCCTGACAGCCATGAACCACTTGTGAAAATCCCCCATTGCTATGTCGGGGGCAAGTCCATCCATGGGACAACTGTTGACTTCCCACAGTGGTGCTTGTTTTATCGACCCCCTCCCAATAGGGTGATGAGCTTGGTCAACCCCCAACCAGGAATGCAGTAACCCAGCATTATGTACAATTTCTCCACATTGCCATGCATGCCAATGCTATTCCCCATTGATAGTCTTAATTGACAGATCTAGTGCACTTTCACGATTGTTATGTGTGTGTGTGGGGCTGTTAGCCCTGCTGTGGGAACCCCATGTTACATGACCTGGGGTGACTGTCGCTTCGCGTGGATCCTCGTGTTCTCGGGGCTCGCTCATTCCACCCTGGAAGTTATATGCACGCTATAATATTGTTCCCGAAATGGGCACAAAAATAAATGGGGAAACGCTGCTGAATTTACTGATTTTAGGTACCCATGTTTTGCAGAATGATTTCAAGATCCAGGAGCTGCCATTGGCACGAATTAAGAAAATAATGAAAATGGATGAAGATGTGAAGGTGAGTGCCGATGACAAGTTTGACTGGAGTCCAGCTTAAATATGTATCTCAATTCTGGATGTAATTACCAGTGAAATGTCGTACTCAAATTATAAATGTTGTGGATTTATTCTCCAACACACCAGTGGGCTGAAGTGGTAACTAATTGGCACGTTTAGTTTGTGACAAACCTTACTAATTGGCTGTGTCGGTGATGGTGGGTTAATGACATTTATATTTATACGATCTAACTCATAAACATCTTTACGATAATATTGGTCGCGAAAGGCTTACGTGCTGAACTAATATATCGGTGTTGGATGGATACATTTTTTTCCCCAATCTGCCATGACCTCCACAATTTTATAGTCAATAAACTCCTGAATAAATGGGAGTACTAATTCACATGCAAAATAAATTAATGGGTTCCATAGATGAGTAGCATAAGCCACATCTGATGTGAATTTGGCCACAACAAAGCGGCGTTTTTTACCTAATGCAGTAGCAATGGCTCTCCGGACCCATGTGTACACGTGTGTGTGTGTGTGGTGCACAGATGATTAGTGCTGAGGCGCCGGTGCTATTCGCCAAGGCGGCGCAAATATTTATCAGCGAGCTCTCCCTCCGCGCCTGGATCCACACGGAGGACAATAAGCGCCGGACCCTGCAGGTGAGATGCAATGGGGGGAGGGCCTTTGGCAACGATTTCTTATTTTGGTATCCCACCTTTGTGTGACCAATGACTTTAATTGTGATTATTAATATCGCATCTTTTGTATTCTGTTCTTGGGGCTTCCCTCGTAAACGGTTAAACAAACTTTTATTTACGTCTCTTTAAGCTGGCCTGCTGTTGAATAATTCCATTTTGTTGTTTCGCAGAGGAACGATATTGCCATGGCAATAAGCAAGTTTGATCAGTTTGACTTTCTCATTGACATTGTGCCTCGCGACGAGCTGAAGCCGGCCAAGAGACAGGTAATGCAACGAAAGCACACCGCCTCATTAAATTCGCAGCCTCTGATGTGTGCCCCAACACTAATTGTGTCCCGCTGAGTCGATCAGACAATGGAAACAATGTGAGTCGTTGCATCCCACACAGTAGACCTTTCAGTCCATTAAGGACTTGCTTGTCATGGTGCGTACAAGTGCTTGTTTTTTTCAGCACAGAGTCATAATAACCGACTTGTTCCTGAGCATAAACACCACTGGTTCACATTTGAGTGGCAATTTTTCTGCATTGCTTGTATGCGAAAATTCTCAGAAAACCGTAGCAAAATGGTTTGAATGTTTTTAGTTTTACCCTTGACAGCCGCATGCAAACCCTTGATTTACAGGTGCCGATGAAGCTCCCATTTTTGGTAGTGCGAGGGTGATGTAAACATCTCAACTGGAAGCTGTGACGTAGGTAAAGGCTTTCAGTTAGGTGTTCACGTCAGCACGCTACCCAGCTGCAGCTACTGCCACTCGCTCTCCGTAGTCCAGCAACCAGACAAATGTGTGCGAGGGGTTTTTTTGTCGTCTTTTGTGTTAGGTCCCTTTTGCGTATTTTTTTTCCATCGCCAAACAGCTGTTCACAATTGTGTAAAGGTGTATGAGGGCGTGTGGGGGTTTTCTTTTTATGTAAAAACGGTGCAAAAGGTGAAACTTTGACCCCTGTTTTATTGCCAATGATGAGTAATTTCAAATGATTTTTGCGAACAGATTAGTTGGAAAGGAAAGTAAACACGATATTTTTGCCCCGTGCAATTAATGGCAACATGACATTCAGTTTATTGAATTGGCGTCTCGGACACTTAAATCTTGCAATCACTGCAGACTGCAGTAGGAGTCTATATTAAGGATCGCCAAACAAATAATGTTCTAATTATCCAAGCAGGCAATTGTATTATCAATATTAATAACGTATAAACTTGGGTTTCCAGGGGAAGGCCAACCAAGTATGAAATTTACGAGGCATGGTTTAATAAATAAAAACATTGTCATTTAATTATCCAGAGCCTCGATGAAACTACTATTTCAGGAGGGCTCCTTAAGTGTGATATTGCCAAAAGCACTCTGTGTGATTATGTAACCATAAGTATTTGTGTGCATCTAGAATGTATACAGTACACACCGACGTTGGACAAGAACTGGCAGTGTGTACATCTGTAAACATCCTCGACTGGAAGCCCGTGCTTTAACAAGTGCTTTTAGTCGGATGTTTGCGTCTGTCTCCTGCTCCTGTGCTTCACTCAACGTGTCCTTGGCTCGTTACCACATGAAACAATGGAGAACGCAGCCCTAATCCTAATCAATGACACTGGACTCTGGGTTACATTCTTGGTCTCTTGTGTGAGAAAGCTGAAAGAAGAGAATACATGGCTAAACAATTTGGGGGCTTTGGATTGTAACCGACGTGCGAAGACATCCCGAGTTTCAGGTGGTGTAAACATCCTTCACTCTCAGCTGTGAGATGGAAGCACACTGAGAGGGGGGGTGTTGACACCAGCTGGCTCGGACATACCTCCTCCGATCCCAGCTCCCCCATGTTGGTGTGACGGACACAGGCATTCAGATCGGTTTATTTCCCCCCCCCCCCCATTTTAATTCTTTGAGCTGTCTGCATAAAATTGTCCCCATTTTTAAATCCTTTATATTAAGTTCACTTGCTTGCGTGCTTGCTTGCTTGCTTGCTTAGGACCGTGCAAATCTTTCGGTCGTTTTTTAACCCACTTCCCGTGATCCAATCGAGCTGACATTTTGCACACAGACTCGTTGTGCTTGACAATAAAATTTTCGTGAATTTTTTTCCAAAATTTTACATTGTTTAGGGAATTTTTTTTAAATATTTAATTACCAGTTGCTTAATTGTGGCAGACAATCATCTGACCCATAGGTGGCAGCCATCTCAAGCCAGAGGACGAGAGGACTCTAGCCGCCACGCATATAAAGGATTTATAGTGAAAAACTTTGTTTTTACGGGTTAATTTTTTGCCTATTAGAATGCGTCTCCATGGTCGGCGGTAACACGTGAAGTTGCTTTTAGGAGTGGACGTGTTCCCGACCTTAGTGCGAATTTGAAAAGTTGTACACAAATTACAAAGTTTATTTCATGGAGTCTTTGCTCTGAGGGCTTTTTTTAAATAACTAGGATTCAAATTTTTATACACCTTCAGTGGTAATGCATTTTTGTATCTTCACATTTGGTCCCCCCCCCCCCATAGTAAGTTTACTTACACGATGTTTCTGGGGCGGTTTAATGAGTGGTGAGAAGTTTTTGCTGCCAGATATGCTTAAACGTTTCAACATACCCTGTTGAGTTATGTTACGCAGTTGCAGACGCCACTCCTTGTCGCGAGACGAACCACTGAAATATTCAACAGAGTAAAAAAAAAACTCAATTAAGACGGATTTTTTTCTAATTAACTTTCACCTGGATAATCCGTTGTAGATGGAAGCTTTTTTTGCTATGGTGTTTTATAGTAAAACCCTTGCTCGATAGGTTCCCCTTTACTGCTATGCTGCAAACATATGCTGTTGCATATCAGCAGTCGCAGTCTCATCAGGTGAAGTGTGTTTTTGACTGTTTATTATATTCTATTTTGATAGTCACAAGGAAAAATATTAAGTAAGGTGTTTTACTGTGTATCTTTTGGTACGTGTGTGTGTTTTTGTGCCCGTTTTATGTCCAAATGTGTCATCTACATATCGTGTGGTGGGGTTATGTGACGTGTGGTATGTGCATGCTGTGTCTCTGGCGTGTCCATGGCGTGCGTGTGCACGTGTCCGTGGCTTTGTGTGTTTGCGGTGCGTGCGCGTGGTGTCTGCACATCCCGTGCTCTGCTAAGGAGGAGGTGAGGCAAGCGGTGATGGCGCCCGAGCAGGTGCAGTACTACTTCACGCTGGCGCAGCAGCCCACTGCCGGGCAGCAGGGGGCGCAGCAGGGAGGGCAGCAACAGACGGCAGGGGGTCAGCAAGCCATACAACCTAACATCATCATCGCACAGCAGCCCCAGGGACAGGTACTGGTCACTTTGGTGGCATGGTGTCTTTTACGGCTAGATTTTTTTAAAGTTTCAAAATGAGGACTCGCATTTTCTTTAATCGTTAATTGAGTAAATTGGAGTTTGTCTATGCGAGCTGTTACATTTAGACACAGTTCACTTACGTACAGGTAATTTGAATGAAAATATCTAATGAAAAGGTGTACATGAAAATATTGAGTTTATTTCTAATCGATGAGCATTGCGGTTTACATTCACAGTGCATATGTTGAATTGTGTGTTAAGACTCGATTTAAAATTCACATGTTGTATATAAACGGCTGTTGCTGTACAATCTAGGTTGTGCTTCCTGGACTGTCCGACATTAGTTTGAAGTTTATCAAGTTGAGACTTAAATTTTCTTACAGCTGCTCTCATGATGTAATTGACACGACTGTCTTTAAAACACAACAACACCACTGCAAGTTTAATGTGTTCTGTACATGTCAGGAGAGTGCCTGAAAATGATAAGTGTTTTTTTTTTATGATTCAAACTTGTCTGCCTGGGACAAAGAGCACGGTGACTTATTTGCAAGATAAGAATTACTTATTTGGTTGATGGTTACATTTTTACTGTAAATGTCGCTTTTGGAGGGTGCGGGGGTGAGCATTGTGCAGTGGTTAGCGCACTGCGCTATGAACCCCGGCTACCAGAGTTTGAATTGGTCGTGGGCCCTCCCTTCACCAACCCACACTAACGAGTGTGGTGAAGTATGGTCAAACAACCCCCATGGCCGACAACGGTGTGGGGCGGTCTTCATCCAGCAATGGATTGACAAAGGACTACATAATGTTTGATGGTTGGTGTTTGGTGTAGGTTGTTCAAGGCGGTGCGCAGCTGCAGTCAATCCAGGCGGTTACACAGGCACAGGCTGCCACCATCAGCGTAAGTTACGTCTTCAAAAGAATTCCATGAATGTGTACTCCATGCAGAAGTGCTGGTTACATTTCAGCTTCCATTAACGGTCGTTTATCAAATCGAAACGAATGTGAACAAGGGGAGACATGCTTCCCTGAGTAAACGGTGTTGTTTTTCACGCAACATTTAAGCTGATGGCAACAATGTGGTACTTTTACACACGTGAAGATAATTGACGTGGAACTTGATTACTCGTGTAAATTGAGTAGAATGCAAAACGGTAATGGTTTTGAGTTTTTTATTTGTTGAATCAGGTGAGAACTCGAGAGACCAGGATGGTTTCATTCGCTAGAATTATTTGGTTTACCATAATGATAAAAAAAGCAATCTAATAAAGTACTGGAATCAAGCGGATAGAAATCGGTGCAAACACAAACAAATGTAAATTAGCAAAAACAACCACATTACAAAATAAGCAACTTCTCACGAATGTCATTAATCCCTAATTGGTTAGACGAAGTAGGGGATTTCCTTCCTGGTTGTATTTTATCTCTCGCACTACTTAAACCATCGTTAAATACCTAGGGACCATGTGCCTGACCCACCCTTTTCCGCATTAAAACATATAACTGTGGGTTTGGTCAATGTAGTGGTAATGCCAACCCCACGCAGTTTTACCAACTTCTTAAAACCTTACCCATATGGCACTAATACAACTGGCCCCTTGACATCCATGTAAATAAAAATAAAACCGAATAATTATTGTACACATACCCAGACTGTGTGATTCCGAGTTATCCAATTTCTTTAGCTACATTTATGACGAAAGTTGTTTATGTACTCCCAGGCATGCCATCATAGTATCAAATTAAATACACATTTTTGTCATTATAAACAGCACATACAATATGTTTGTAAATTGGACAATCTTGGCACGTGGTATAGAGGGTTTATGCCAATCATTTTGGCATAAAACTGTTGTGGCCTTACCCAAAAACAAAAAGAAAATAAAGTTTCACAAATCTTGTCACACACACCTACTGGAGTATGCACCTCAACTTTTTCTTTAAAATACAGTGAACAAAGTGAACCTTTTATAATATATCTTATTCCAAGACAACAGCCAATCGTCGAGTCTACTGCAAAGATGGACTCCAACTTTTGTCCCCGTCACTCCAACTTGCAGAGCACTCCGGTGACGGTGCAAGTTGCAGACGGTCAGCAGCTTCAGATCGTCTCATCGCACCAGGGTCAAGTGGGCACCGGCGGGCAGGTTCAAACAGGCACCGTGTGCCAAGCTGGCACCACCACCGACAGCCACGACTGGCCAGACCATGCAGGTCATGCAGCAGATCATCACCAACACCGGCGAGATCCAGCACATCCCCGTCCAGCTCAATACGGGCCAGCTGCAGTACATCCGCCTGGCACAGCCGATGAGCTGGGGGCCAGATGGTGCAGGGACAGGTGCAGGCCATCACTACGCCCACAGGCCAACAGCAGGTGAGGTGGACTGGAAAAATAACAACGGCCTGTGCTTTGGCTGCTTCATCGTGTTAAGGCTACCGTTATTAAGTAGTTGTTTTAGGTGGCTGAGTGGTGGCTATTTAGTGATTCATCCATTAAAATTGGTTAATGCTCGTGTGCATGAAGTCGTGCTTGTAAGAATTATTTATAGACATGAAAAATGTACATTTTTTAGGACTGTGGCACAACATGAGAGCTCGACGCAATACACACGAGATGGTACACGCAAGACGATACAAACAAGATGGTACATATGAGATGGACATTGTCAATGAGATGGTACAAAAACAAATGATTTTAAATAAATAATGACTATCATCAATTAATTTCGTCAGAGGGAGGGTTACATTGCTTTTGGTTGCCATGTGACTGATATGTCATGAGGATGTGGATGAGAGGCAATTGAGTCCTGTGAAGTAGTTTTATGATTATCAGCTTGGAGGCAGTAGGCTTAGACTGGTGTGATGCACTTATTTACGTGAATCCGAATCTTTATTTAGGCTGGAGGAATCTGGTGAGCTATGAAGTTCTTTTTCACCAATGTCCAGTAAAGATGTGAGTGCCATGCAGAAATAGTTTAACTTATCACAGTGAAATGGCACAATTGAAAAATATCATTTAACAAAAAAATTCATAACGTGGCCAAAAAGGAGAGCGCATTTAAATACAAATTCCATTGTGCATGAGAATCGTCTGAAAATTGTAGGCTGAACGGTGGGCCCAGCCTAAGGCCATGCGACTTCCTATTGTAGTACAGTCATTTAGAACTGATGAGCAGTGGCAGCCACAACAGGGTAGTGGGACCACAGACAAGCCTAGCATCATCCTAGGCAGATGAGCCTCCAATAATGACAAGTGAGCTTAATGATTTATTTTCATCCCTCCCTTACCCCCCCTCCTTGTGCTTGCTGTGTGTCCACAGCTATACCAGATCCAGCAGGTGATCCTTCCATCAGGACCGGAGCAGCAGGTGTTCATCCAGCAGGCTGGCGAGACGCAGCAGGTCGCTGTAGAGCAGGTGCCTCAGTGAGGGCAACTTGCCCGCTCCCCCAGGCTGACGGCCGTGGGGCTGGCAAGCGGCGGTTTGTGGCGGCAGTGAAAAATAGTGGCGGCGCGAGGAGAGGCGCAGGCAGCGATAAAGTTGTCCTTGCAGGGAGCGGCCCTCTAAATAGGGAGGCGTGAGCTGAGCGTTCATGCGCAGAATTCGTACCAAGCACAGCTGAGTGGTAAACAAACAGGCTCTACTGAAAGTTCTGCGATAAACCCCAAAAGAGGATTGCAAACAAAAAGTAAATAAATGGGTGTTGGGCAATGGTGTGTGTTGTTAGTGTCAGGGGTGTAGGACGTGTGCCAAGGAATGGTTAGGGTTTACGGTAATGGAAAGTGTGTGGTTGGTTATTGTGATCCACGATTGACAGTTTGGCCCACCCTAACCCGCATGGATAGGTATGGATTTGTTTACATTTTTGTTTGCTTTTCCATTTTGATGTTTACAGCGCACCAGAGTCGATCCTTGATATTATTCCTAGGGGCATGAGAACCAAACATCTTTTTGTTTTATACACGAGATAAGCTGATTAAACGCGTCGTGGCGAGCGAATGAGGGTGGTGTTTTTATCATTAATTTCCAGTTTAACCCACAATGCGTTGACACCCTTATTTCATACGGTTCGCCAAGCATGGTTGGGTGTTTCATGCGGCCATAATCACGGGCCAGGCACACACCTTAATATATCTGTGTAGGGTGCTTCCAGAGCCTTCAATTTGGACCCGTTATGATAAAATAGCAGCAGAAGTTCTATATGGTGTCTGGTGCAACACTTGTTAAAACGTTTTCAAATTATGGGTAAATATTAGCCGCAATTCCCAAAGTGTTTCGCAATTATAATAGCCTAGGGTTCGGACTTTGCAGCATTGCTAACAGCAAGTAACACATCTAGATTAGCACAGGTGAGATCAGCCTCTTCCGTGCGGGGTAGTTGTGTTTTTTTCCAAACGGGCACATAACGATTTCTCCCTCGCAATGTGGGTTCAAATTGTTTAGCTCCTGGTGTTAAACATCAACATACTTTTACTACATGACTTGGCTGCATACAAATATGACATTGTTGCTAACCCTGCTTCTTTGGGAACTTTTTTGGAATTGTGCGGCAGTACATCTGGCGGAAAGTAGGAAAAGCTGTTTACAAATTGGTTGTGCGCACCATTGTGATTCAATTATGGTCTCGCCACTGTGGCACAAATGCTTCACCACATCGCCTTCACCGTCCTGCGACGTTTACAGTCTCGTACCTGCTTAACTTTTTTGCTCCTATTTACTGGTTGCCCTCGCAGACATGGTCCTTCATTTGGCTGCAATTCTGCCACCAGTCTCATTCGTCTGGTGTCATCATGTCTAGCTATGTGTCCTGCCCAAGCGAAACTTAACTATTCTGAACAGGTCAATATGATTTCTCTAACTTGCATCTTTTCTCTGATCACGTGTTTCTCTGTCTGTACTGTATTCTGAGTCCATCTATTATTTTTATTACGATGCTTGTTTACCCAGGAATGCCTCAGTTTTTCAGTTAATGCATTGCTTTACCAATGAGGTAGGTAATGATCTGATTTTTGTGAACAATTAAAAAATTTGGATCATGACATATAGCATACTCTTCTTCAAATAAGGTTACGGGATCTTTCACATCGGTAAAGAAACGGACGACGCATTTTATGGTTAATGCCCCCGGCAGTATTCTCGAGGGTGGCTCGCTGGATTTAAACTGCAAATCTTTGCAACAAGTAGCAAACGCGCTTCCACTGAGCATTTTCCCACCGCCCATTGGTGACGGCAGGTAAATGCTCTGATAACTTTCTTCTTGGGGATGTTTGTGGTCTGGTGCTTTTCATTCAATTTAATTTTCCAAAAGTACTCCATCTTGCTCTTGCTCAACTCTTTATCCCATTATTTTCATTTCAGTCCTCCACTAATCGCCCTGGATACTTTGTTGTGATTTCCAACCAGTCCCAACAATTCCTTTTAGTTCAGAAGACGTGGTGTATGTGACTTTTGTTTATTTTGAAAGCCTACGTGTTAATACTCTGTGGGGCTTTCCGGTAAAGTCACGTAGATAGAAAAAATATAACAATCACGACGTTTCGATCGCAACACAAGCAATCGTCTTCAGGTGAAAAACTATTATTATTTTATTATTTGCACGATGGGGTGGGTGGCCAGCACCACATCTGCCTTCGTCTCCCCGGTACTGATGTTTACACACTGCACCAGTTACTCATTCGAGGCCAAGTCGACCAAAACGAGGCCCAAGACTGATTCCGATATTCGCCACTGATCTTGGTCAGGAGCTGGAATCGGAACTCTGGTCTTTGGGATTTTAGCGAGCGTGCTACTAACCTCACTGCTCTACCTATATATAGACATGGTACTTCTTGGTCTTTTGGGGCTTACTTGGTTTTAAGTGTAGGACATGAATTAACAGTCACCGTCTTTATCACTATTCTGTTTATTGAATCCTGCAGTGATGTGTAGGTTAGCCTGAGTTTTCAGATCGACTTCAAGTCAGCTCATCTACAATTTGGAGTTCAAATTGTGGCAATGGATCGGTCACATTACATTGCCTATGTGAGCGTGTTTACCAAACTTGGAGAAAAGTGTTTTTCTTCGTGTAATATTAAGTTTTTTTAATGTTATCCGTATACAGACTAATAGAGGATTATTATTACACAACATCACGGGTTAACGTGACATTTGTAATGGATTAAATGATCGCCCCCATCTTTTTTTACCCTCCGAATTCCCAGTGCTTTGGATCGGCCTTTGTCTTTCAATTTTTTTGTATTTGTGTACCTGTCCGTGACCTGTGATATTTACTTTTGTGTTTTTGAAATATGTTTATCGGATAAAGAAGAAAAAGCGAAGTGTGTTTTTATTGTTATTATGACTCGCAATTCCCGGCGATGTTGTAGAGCCACCTGTGCTCGTATTTAAAATTAGGGGTCGTGCTTCTGAAGAAAGAGGGGCGGGGGGGGGGGGAAACACTTCACATTGTACAAACAAAACAACAAAAGTGTGAATTTTGTAAACGTTTCAGCCATATTAATACTTTTCATTGTACGTATTTCCAAATGTTTTCGATGCTATTAAGTGTTGGTTAAATAAAGTCAAGCTGTTTGTAAACAATCTCTGCACCTCATACATCAGCCTCAACCAACCAAGAAATCTTCTGCTTTCGGGCAGATGCAACGTTGAAACTTTCTTTTGACATTTTTTTTGCATGTAGTCTTCGGCTTGAACTGCATGTCACTATATATCTCCCTGCAATTTAAATTCGTCTGGCAACGTTTGTCTATCCTTATAAGTTCTAGATTTGAAGCTTTCGTGACTGCAAGGATTCATATTCTTAGGTTTTTTTCGGTAAAGTCACGTAATTAAAAAATTCTAATAAATAAAATGAAAATCACGACGTTTCGGAGGCAACACAAGCTTCCGTCTTCGGGTGGAACCGTCACAGCACGATAGCTGTATCAAGTAAGAGAAATTCCAAGAAAACAGTCCTTGTATATATACTGGTTGAGGGTGGGAGGAGCCAAGGTAGGTCCTGGATATTATTATTGTGAGGTTTGGTCTTTAATGGAGATGTCTCCCATTTTGGGATTGATCTGAAATATCTTAAAACTGGGCTAAGACACTATGTCAGATCCGAAGGTTTGATCCAGAAGTGCATTGTTGGGAATGATGTCACGTATGACGAGTTGGTGCTTTTCATGTTAAAAGTGTTGCCTGTTGGCACTGATGGTTTATTATTTATTTCAAAGTATCTGCAAAAAAAGATTTCCTTAAAATTCCGCAGGGTTTTTATCTGAGATGTGTACCCCCCTCATCTTTACGCCATCCAACCTGATACTTAAGCAGACCCATGTCCTTAAACGCATTGGCCAACCTCAAACTTTTGATGCCCCAAATATGAAGGTTTTTATTTTTTTTATACACGTCCCTGAAAGGTATAGGGACCTACCACTTGTGAATTAATATTGCACACCTTGGTTTGGGTCATGATTTTTTAAATACCGTAGTTTAATCACAACTACATTGGACATCATTTTAAGAATGGCAAGATTTCCAACTTTTAACAAATAAAGTTTTCACTTTTTTATACTGACGTGTCCTTCAGGTGCTCCGGTTTGGTGGTAAATGTGTGGAGTGTCAATGCGAGGACTTGCCATGTTCAGCGTTGTATGAACTTGTGTGAAGACTGGATCTGTTCCTGCGATGTGGTGTCCTTACATTTCCAGTTTCGAAGTTGCTGTTTGTTTGCGTAGTCTGGTTTGTCTGGTAATGGAAATGCCATCACTCTTGATTTTGTTGAAATTGTAATATCACAAGTAACATTTTAAATCTCCACTTTTTCTGGTTGGTGTTTCCATCCAGTCTCATTCCTTGCATCAGTGCTGAATGGTGTGGGGGGGGGGGCATTGTATTTTTAGATTCCACTCGACCATGTGCGACATTGACTTATTGATGAGATGGAATCCTGCGCACATGCATTGTATCGTCTAAGAATAGATTCACTAATCAACTTCTCGATACTGTACATTATATTCTGATTCATGGGTTCTCCTTTGCCAGTACCAAAATATGATAATAGGTTTTCCCCTTTTTTTCTGGCAACAAAACAGGTGTTAAGAAATTTACCAAAGTGTGTTCTTTATATTTCACTTTTATCCTGATTGGGCTATCTTGCAACAACATCCAATTTAATCGCTCGCCGATCGGTGCAACCCTTTGTGTCTGAGGTTGGTCGATGGAAGCAGTTATCACAGCAACCTTCGAGCCCTTAAAGTGACCTCTCCTCCACACAACCGGTTGCAAAAAAAACCGTCTGGAATCGCGACCCCATTATTATTTGGTTCTTTCGGTTAAGTCACGTCTAAAGATAAAATAATAAATTAAATAATAGCATATTACGACGTTTCGATTGCAACACAAGCAATCATCATCAGGTATAATGAAATAGCGACATAAAATCTAACCAGAAAACTATAGACAGACATTAGTAGACATATCACCAAGATACATAGAGAGAGCAACACTGATAACAGAGAGGGTCCTCTCTGTTACCTTTTGCTTGTGTTGCAATCGAAACGTCGTAATATGCTATTATTTAATTTATTATTTTATCTTTAGACGTGACTTAACCGAAAGAACCAAATAATAATTCCTGCAGTCACGAAAGTTCTAAAATTAAGATCGCGACCCCATATTGTGATGATTAATCTCGTCGCTTCGAGAACGAATCGTTACGCGTGACCCAATTCTACGGCACATTTTATTAATCCGCATTCATCTTTTGCTCACCCACCTTATGCTCGTGTCCCAGTTAACCTAATCTTGAACTTGGGGTGTTAGCATTCCCAGGCCCCTCCCCGTTAACTACTGTGGGCCAGGTTGTTGATCACACCGCCCGCCTGAAGCTCGTCCCTCCCACCTTTTACATGTTTGCCTCTCCCTAGAGTAAAAGTAAAATAAAAATCACGACGTTTCGGAGGCAACACACGATAGCTGTATCTCACTTGATACAGCTATCGTGCTGTGACGGTTCCACCTGAAAACGGAAGCTTGTGTTGCCTCCGAAACGTCGTGATTTTTATTTTACTTTTATTAATTTAAATTTTTTACCTACGTGATTTTACCGAAAAAACCTAAGAATGTGTTAATACTGCTTCGTGAACGTTCGCGACCATGGAGTTTTATTTTACCATGTGTCCTTGAAATTTGACTCATTTAGTCCTAACCAACAACCACATTTGTGGAAAGTGAAGACTACATAAGTAACAAAAACCTTCGTTAGAATAGGTTTGGGAGTGGGGTCTCGGGGGTAGGGACAAGAGCAGCGCCGTTCGAAACGACAGACGTGACCACCAGGGCAGCACCGAGTCCCTGGACATTCATGGGGGGACGTTCGGCCCATTCACCAACCAGCCCCACGGAAATGTCCGAAGTTGGGGCTCCACAGTGGCGAGATGTTAACTACCTCGCCTGGTATGCAGGAGGTCGTGCGGTCGATCCCAAGCCTGACGCCTGCTGTACATTTGGAGTTTGCGTGTCTCCGGTCGCGTGGATTTTTCTCCAGGTCATCCGGGTTTTCTCTTCCACATTTAGAAACATGCGCTTAAGAGTATTTGGTTATAAATTTCCACAAGATAAGCCACTTCGTTAGGCTATTATATGTGGCCAAGTCGCTTCTGAAAACGAGCTATTTAGCTCTGGGCCTGACCTGGTCAGATTTTTTTTTAAACTCTAGTATAATTATAGTTTGTTCAGTTTCCTGTTGGTTTTTCTGATGCAACCGGGCCATTCATGATGGGAGAATAAAAATATGTCACCTTTCCCCCACGCCGCCATACTCGTCTGCCAAACGCATCGCATGCATTTGTGAAGTTGAATCCTTGAAGCTTGGCAGCGGCTTATTCCACGGCTCGCAAGCAACTGGCCGTAAGTGCCACTTAAGTTAATTGCGCTTAAGGAATGCGGTGTGAATCCAATTTCGACGATTCTCTCATTACATTAATGCTGCTTCCTTCTCTGCCGTGTGACTCGTCGCTCTCTCTGCTTTATGCAGCTGTTTGCCCGATCCAGGAAGTGCTCAATACTAAGAGTTTGAAAATCAAAAATAGACTAATGTTGTAGGGAGGCTCATGGACTCGTGTTTTGTCCGAGCACTGGTTTATTACTGAAATAGTAGATTCAAATATTTTCAAGTGTATTTACTTAACCACGTGAGAACTCGTAGAATTGAACGAAACCATACAATTAGAAATTCATAAAGTAGTCAAAATGTAACCATCTCAAGATTGGTCTCCGAAAACTGGGGAAATATTTCTGATTTAAACAGGGAGGGAGGGATATAAATACAGACTTACTCTTGAGGACTGTCCTTTCGGAATGATTGGCATGGGACAAGCACTCTACCGCGGGGCCCTTTAAAATATGTGCCACCTCGTGTGCATAATATGAACCGGGAAGGGGCTTCTCAAAGTCGTCGCATGATGTCATCGCCCGTGGCCGCTGTGACACGAGGCGGCGATGCTGCCGCTGATCGGCTGACAACTCCGGAGCGAGAACCCCACTCCGCGTGAACACGATGGCCCTTGACAAACTTGAATGTCTTCTTGGTTCTTTCGGTAAAGTCACGTAGAATGGAAATAATAAAAATAAAACTAAAATAATTCTCACGACGTTTCGGCCACAACGCAAGCAGCCGTCCTCAGGTGAAGAATAGGTCTGTCGAGAAGACAGACCTATTCTGTCTTCTCGACAGACCTATTCTTCACCTGAGTACAGACTTATTCTGTCTTCTCGACAGACCTATTCTTCACCTGAGGACGGCTGCTTGCGTTGTGGCCGAAACGTCGTGAGAATTATTTTATGTTTTATTTTTATTATTTTATTATTTCCATTCTACGTGACTTTACCGAAAGGACCAAGAAGATGAATTCCTGCAGTCACGAAAGCTTTAAATCGAAACTTGAATGTGCTCGTCCGGTCATCGGAAACGAAAACAAAAATAAATCGTAACCTTCGGTTACAACGACGTCATCTGCGTGCCTCCCGTGTGACGGAATGGTCCCCGGTCGTGTGACCGACCTTGTTTTAAAGTTGAACTCTGTTGGTGGTGGTGGTTGTGGAGTGGGATACAATATCATTCATAGCTGTCAACCCGGACGGGTTTACCCGTATTCTTGTAACGGGGAAATTAAGTTTTCAGGTCCATACGGCGTGCAGCCGTTTCAATACGGGCAATTTTTTTTCGTCTTTGTGTTTCTCCTTTGTGTTCTGTTTACGTGACAACCCTTACTAGTTGGCTGTGTCGGGTAGTGGCGGGGTTTAACGACATTTACGCGCTCTAACCCAAAAAACCCTCTAGTTATAGTTGACCAATAAGGTCTGAATTGGTCTGTAATAATGTAGACGCTGATAAGGGGTTGACAGGTATGATAATTATAGACCGAGACCCATAGAGGAGGTAGTACAGTAAGTGGACTCATCACCATCTGTATGTGGATATTGAATGCTGTTCCCTCGCGCAAGGAGTGGGAATTTTCTCCGGGTGCTCCAGTTTCCTCCCACCAGTATTACAATCACTCATCATGAATTGGCTACAGACACTTAATTTTAGCAGGTAAGGGCCACTGAGCTCTTTTTCAGAAGCGACCTGGCCACAAATTACGGCTCAACGAAGTGCTCTATCATTTGGAAATGTATCGCAGCCAAATACTCTAGACTCGCGTTTCTAAATATGGAGGGGAAAACCAGAGGACCAGGAGAAAAGTCCACGCGGCCACGGTGAGAGAGAGAGACACGCAGACTTCAAATATACAGGGATCCAACCCAAGACCTCCTGCATATCAGGCGTGAGAGAGAACATCTCCTAGCCACCGTGGTGCCCAACGATGCAGAACCCTCCTGAAAAAGAGTTAATCGACTACGACTTTCCTGGATAGATTAACACGTTTATTATTTTTCGATTTAAAGCTTTCGTGACTGCAGGGATTCATCTTGTTGGTTCTTTCGGTAAAGTCACGTAGAAGGGAAATAATAAAATAATAAAAATAAAACATAATAAAATACAATTATTCTTTGTTTTTTTCGGTAAAGTCACGTATAAAGATAAAATAATAAATTAAATAAATAATTTGTTATTAAATTAAATACTTTTTTCTTTTATCTTTATACGTGACTTTACCGAAAAAAAACAAAGAATAATTCCTGCAGTCACGAAAGCTCCAAAATTAAGATTAAAATACAATTCTCACGACGTTTCGGCCACAACGCAAGCAGCCGTCCTCAGGTGAAGAACAGGTATGTCGGAAAGACGCAGCAACATTCAGACGCTGTCTTTCCAACAGACCTGTTCTTCACCTGAGGACGGCTGCTTGCGTTGTGGCCGAAACGTGAGAATTATTTTATTATGTTTTATTTTTATTATTTTATTATTTCCCTTCTACGTGACTTTACCGAAAGAACCAAGAAGACGTTTATTATTGTAAATTAATTAACAACACTTTTCGGACGGTTTGTGTATCACCAAACGAAGCTCGCACATTAACACGAGGACAGCTGAGCCCCCTTTAGGCCCCCCCCCATTTCCCCTTC